CCTCTCGGGAGTTGAGGGCAGGTTTGTAGTTTCGTATGTAAAACGCTTCGAACAGTCGTAGATTTGCGGGGTCGTTTTCTAGTACAATGGTCTTGATTTTGATGCCTTTGTGGACTTTGTTTTGACACTTTAAAATGTGTTTCTCCACGGAACAGTTGTATTCAACGTTCGTCTCTGTATAGAGATTCAGTGGTACAGTGTACCAGATGTACTTTATATATCTTTTTTTAGATCAAACAATGCGATTTTTACCAAATGCAAGTTCAAGTAAATCATAACAGATTTAATCTTGAGAAAACTTATAAATTGGAGACTCATTGGTGGTCTCACGCTGTGATAAGGATAGGAAGGTCATGTGAAATATTATTAGCGCACTTTAGAAAAAGTAAAATACAAAATGGCAGTAAATTTTTCTTTAAAATGCCTGTAATAATAACTATAAAGAGTTGGCCTGGCATATTGAACCTTGCATATTATTATAGAATTTATTTGAGCAAGCCATTTAGTTTATGTATCTAAAAAAAAATTCAAGATTGGCAGCTTTTTGATAAAAGGGTCACGTTTCCTTATTTGCATATTTGGATCGGCTGCTAATGTTATGTTGCGGTCTGCTGGCAAATTTACACAATTTTTTTAACTAACTGATGCCTACAAAAATATAGTAGCGTTTACTAGCATATTCAACGTTCATCTCTGTGGGATGTTCGGTCATAGAATGTGCCAGTTTCACTTTTCACATAAATGCATATCTTTCAAAATCGAACAATGCTCTACTAAACGTCGTAGGAGAAGTTTTATACACCAGAGTCCCTGTCAGACGTGAGAAAATGCACGACTGAATTTTTCGGGAATTTTGGCTACAACCTGCCTTTTGTGTGCATCAATTACAATTCGTGCACACGGAAAATTACATTATAATTACACCCAGACACAGACTAAAGGTAAATAAATATGTCACGATATTGTTTTGTGCTGACACAAGGAAATATTTAGCTCAGCTGTAATCTTAGTTACATTATTTGCCTCTTCACCATGTAAAATTTATTTGCGTCCAGATATTAAGGCAAAACACACAAAACCGTTTGAAAAGAAAAATTTTCACAACATAAAGAACACAGTAAAAATGTACTATCAGAAATTAAGCCCTTCTGTTTCTAACAGTATTTTCTTTTTTCTTTCCTCCAACTGTACAATGCAGATTGTACATTACATAAATGAGCTGGCTCTAATTAAGAGCTTTTGATTACCTCATGATACGGCGGCCATTTTGAATGTCATTGTTCCAAATAGCTATTATGAGTTGCTTGGGGGCAAATACATATTAGGAGCTTAAGCAAGCAACGCATATTGCATATTTAGCTCAGGTTAAATATGCAATGAAAGTGTTTAATTCCAAATGGAAACACGAAAAAATAGGCGTCATCGTTCGCGTTCCTCAGACTACACAAAACTTGGTCATTTCGCGTTTTTGTTTTGCAAAGGACGGCAAAGAAATGTACAAAGATTTATAACGCACGTACGCAGCCATTGTTTTGCTCATTATACAATAATTAAATGAATGCGCGCGCTCTGATTGGTAAAACAGCTATGGTTTATTGTGCCAGTAAACTCATGGAAATTTCGCGTGTCTTCTGAATTATTATATAAAAGCAATAGACCACAAGTTTCTATGGTTTAGAGGCATGATAAACCACTTGGGATGTTGGAAGAACACTCGAAGAATTCGTAAATCACTCGCCTGCGGCTCGTAATTTACGAATTCTTGGAGTGTTCTTCCAACATCCCAAGTGGTTTATCAGCCTATAAACCATAAAAACTTGTGGTCTATTGCTTAAGTAACCTTTTGTTTGGCGACGTTCTCGTTGCTGTCGTCGTCTTGGTTTGCTTAAGCTCCCTAAATTTGCCCCCTGAACATCCCATAATGCCTCTTAATTTATGCCAGCTGTTCGTCAGCTTTACGTAGGTAGCGCAAATGCCCGGGCTTCAAAGTCCTTAAACTTACTGCATGAAGTTGGATGAAAAACTTTAAGGAGATTTTCACCAACTTTAATGTCCAGAAATTTCTATGTTCTATGCTGTGAAGGGGCTTTGGGGACTGGCCAGAGTTTGCCCACATCTTTGCCATTAATTCAAGTATGAAGACGTCAAAATTGACGTCAAGACTAGCTAAGACTAGATGAGCTGCATTGTATGTTATCATTCCACGCCCGCAAACTCGATGAACACCTTTTTCTCAAAGCCTTTGCGCCCCCGTTTACTAGGCTTAGATTAGTTCTCCCTAGCTATGCAGATATTTCAAAAATATGGTCGTTCAAATTGGCCGTTCCAGGAATGGAATTGAAGAAACGAAACAAGGACCAACCCGGCACTACAACAATGACTTTATTTTAGAAATTCTGATCATAGTCGTTAGTAGACACAATTAGCAAAACTATTTTAGCAGCTCTCGGGAGAGCGCTAGTTAATCTTTGCATCAAAAGTCGGTCAACCTACCTGAATGTTTTCCTGCACCCTGAGTTTGATCCTCAGTGCAACCAGAGCTCCAGGACAACATGTGGCAAAGCAGCAACCCTCGCCCATTCTTGAAGAGATGTCACACAGCAAAAACGGCCCACAGAAGGTTCCCATGCAACCTGCAAATTGAACAAAGAAGTAGTGTATCACGAACCACGAATGACGATGGCCCTGCTGTGATTATATAGTTCGAGTTCGTTTCAAGAAAACTTTTAACTAATTGTTGATTTAAGTAAAGATAAAGAATGAAGTGTTTTCGAACGTGTGGGTCCTCCAGTAATGCGATGAACACTTCACTTACATGAATAAAAGTCTTCAAAGCATCCGCACAGACCAGAGCTCCAGTCACGCATTCCTTGTTGTAGCACAACTTGCGACGGTTGTGTCACGACAACAGTTGTGTTAGTTTGCTGCTGGACCATTGGCTGGGCCATCACTGGCTGAGGATATCCTGGCTGAGCCATGGGGTACCCTGGCTGCATGCCATAGGGTGGGGGACCTCCCGCTTCAGCTTCCTCTTGCATTGCGGTATATTCAGTAGCAGGCTTTTCAGACATGTTTCAAGGATACTTAGCTAAATTTAAGCAAAAAAGAAAAGAAGAGAAACATTTTACGGAACGTGTTAGTCAGCGTACCATGGGTCAAAGCAACTGTGGTTTGACATGTACAAACAAACAAACATCACAAAAATATTGCCCCTTTGCTTTCATCAATTTACCGTTCAATATTTCGCTCATATGAGAAAGCATTCTATTTAATGTCAATGTCTTTTGGATGCCGCTTTCGCGGTGGGGGCGTTGTTGGAATAGGGGAGCTTTTATTAAAAACAAAACTCCAGGGAAGTGCTTATCAGAAAAGGGGCGCGAGGTCGCTGAATCGACTCAAGATAAAGACAAAGGGAGTTCCGGGAGAACTTCGTTCTTCCCGCAGGCAGAGCCTGTCAATTTTCATTTGCTCCTGGGAGCGGCAAGAAGAAATCTGACTGACGTTGCCGGAAAAACGACTTGAATTCACTCGAAATAAAAGAATAATGTTCAAGAATATTTTCATCCGTCATGCTTGAAGTCAGGCAAGTATGCCGCAAATTTTAATTTATGTATTTAACTGTTACCTAAAAACTCGTCTCCTTGCCTAAAAAAAATAACCCGAGGATGAATGAATTTTGCCGCGGGGTCCGGCGATATCATACATACAGCAACCTGACAAGAGTGAACCAAGACGCAAACGCGTCCCCTAACCCCACCCTGGACAGTCCATAATTCCTGTTCCCTTTCGTGGAAATCTGAAGCAAAACAAATTCGTTTCGGGGAAAAATCTTAAGGTAATGATCTATATCGGTCACGGAACCTGGCAGAAATTCGACAAAGGATAAAAATTAAATATATATTTTTAATTATTTGACTGTTTTAGAGTAATTCCTGACGATTTGCGGGGTAGCATCATTTCTGTCATTCGACGAGTCATGTAAACGTGTCCCCTACCCCCGACCCGAACAGTCAAACATGTTCTCTTTTTCCGAAATGAAGCAAGAACAAATTCGTTTCGGCGAAAAATATAAGTTGGTTCAACTCAATAATCAGTCACAGGTCTGAAAATCGACAAGGGTATATTTTTAAACACTTGACTTCGGTTAGAGTCAGTACTGACGATGCAGTATATAATTTCTTTCATTCGACCCTCATTTGCATTTCAGATGTCCTGCATATGTACACAAATAAAGCTAAAGACATGCATGAATGTCGGCGAAGCGCAGGTGTCAATAATTAATGGTCTCTGTATGGAAAAAAGCGGTCGATACAGTGGAGTCTTCAACTGCAAGGACCCAAAATGATAACTGATATGCGAAACAGGAGAAGTTTCTTTGTTCGCTCGACCAAAGAGTGGCACCAAATTTCGATCCAAGCCCGCAAAATATGCAAGTTATGACCACGCGAAATACATAAATATGCCATGAATATTGAAGCACGGTAAAAGATCCAGTTAATAATCCTACTAAATGTATGTTGCAGTTACCTTTTGGTATTAATTTATAAGAGTTTCGCATTTCACTCACTACTGTAATAACAAGTCAAATAATCCAAAGAAACGTCAAAGAAAACGCACACCAAACCGAAAGAAACGGATGACTAAACTTAGGCTTAACATATTACAAGTCGAGGCTGCCAAACGGACCTGAGGTGCACGACCACATGCAAAGGAGTGCAATATAATTAATATAATACAATATATAAATTGTTGCTTACCCTCTGATCGGTGGCGAAGACACAGAAATCGCTTTTAGATCTGTCAAGTACAAGGAATGGAAATCAGATCTTCAAGTCATGAGATCTGTCGATTGGGTCACGCAAACGCGTTTGGGTTTGTCCACCGTGAGGGCCTGGGTTTGGCACTCGAGAAACGTGCGCAGTTCAAGCGAAAAGAACCCTGAACGCGAAAACGGCACGCCCAAAACTCGAGAAGACCGTTAGCAAGAAAGACTGAGGAATAGAATAGGAAAAGAACGTTCAGCTGTACAGCTGTGATATTCAAGACTGGTGATTACACTCCCCGAGTGCAGAGAAGGGAAAGGATAGGAGCAACCTCGTTAAGTGAAACCCAGATATATATCAGAGGGTGTTTCCGCTTGTGCCAAATAGGGAGGTCTTCTTGGATGAGTGCTGACCACCAAGAGACGGGTGAGCGCCAAGAATTCACTCGTAATTAAATAATCCAAGTGAAGAGGTGTATATTCATGACAGTTTCACTGAACTAGTCTAAAAATAACAACCTCGGAACCATGCTAGTTTAGGCCAACAATCAAACCTCAATGTTTCTTGCATCGTTAGTTTGACTCTCGATCCCCCAAGAGCTGCAGGACAAGATGTGGCCACGAACAAGCCTAACTCATCATCCCGGAGGATAAGCTGGACACCACGCGCCGTAGCAACCTCAGGCCCGGGATTTTCGAAAGGTGGATAAAGTTATCCACTGAGTGAATCACTATCCGTTGGATCAGCCGTTGGATAGTGTGATTTGTTTTGCCAACACTTGTCCACTGGATAGCGATTTTTCCGGTGGATAGCGTTATCCACCTTAAGAACAACTGGGGCCTGTAGTTACAACACAGAGGTATTAGCAGCTACCAACTCATTTAAACATGCACAGTCTCGCAAGCAGGAAAGGGCGTCTTTCTTTGGCAAGGACGAATATATAAAAGCCGGACAGAATGGTGCACGAAAACGCGTGAAAGCGTACGAACCAATACAAACTTAGGCCGATCAATATGAGTTTAAATCTATTAGAACAAATACTGACAAAAATAACCCCTGCAAACTACCTTTTTAGCAGGTGGTCACCTGACCTTGTCATTCAAAATGCTTATTTGCAGAATAACTGGCCTCTCCGAAGCTATACCTCGTAACAGTAGCTTGGCGTGGCTACACGGTTACGGCCAGGGGTACAGCTTTGAAGTCGCCACGTACCGAATACATGGCCGGAGTGTGTTGACACCATGCCTTCTGGTCGGGCCAAATAACATATATACGGTTTACTGACCAAGCGCATGGTCAAGATGGCTGGATATTGGACAACTCCTCTCTTTTTGCAGGTTGTTCAGACCGAGACGCAGTCAAGGTCCATAAACACGCAAAAAAGAAAAAAAAATGAAACGGGTAATCCCGAGAGGGCAAGATAGTGTCATCTTAACCCCCCCCCCCCCTCGGATAGCCAATCAATAGTGCAGGATTTAGTTCATATAATGCAATCAATCAATCAATCAATTAATCAATCAATCAATCAATCAAACTTTGTTAAAAGAGGGTAGCACATAATACCTTGTACAACTTATTAACCTGCGGTCCTGCAAATGTGCTTACATGTATATTTATAAGCGATGTTAGGGTGGGCTTGTCCTACAAAGACGGGCGGTATACAAGAGATTTGGGAACGAGAGCTAAACTCTCCCCAGTGTCCTACTCGGGAACAACGTGCAAGCATACGAAGATGGCGGCCGAAGATGCCTTTCAAGTAACCAAGCTAATGAGTAACGCTTCAACGAAGTATGGGGAAACATAGAGGGAAAGCGAAAGAAGCTACTTCTCGTCATAAACTCAGTAAGAGTTCAAGGTTTGAGGCTGCTTGGGATGGAAGTCATGCAACAAGCGATTTCGACAGTTTGCAAAATGATGGCGAGACACGAGGTAAGCTTCAATGAGTTTAAATGATTTTAAGTAATCGCGAATTTTCTAAAGAGTTAGCCTTGTCTCTGTTTGCCCGCCATTTCGGGACATTTTATTTCCACACACTCTACACCTTCTCACCCCTGCCTGCTTTAGACGAGGTTTCCTCCGTCAGCATCGTGTGATCTTTCTAACATTTCTGACGGGCTTTGGAAGAAGGGGTTTGCTTTTCTTGTTGGTGTAAAGAAAACTTGGCTTATTTCTTAATACATCAACNTGGGGCACTTTTGACCTTCCATGTCAAGGGGGCCTGGGGGGGATATGATATTATTAAAAACTTGATCATTGGATAATGCAAGTCAAGGCTTTTCACAGGCTTAGTCATCATGGTATGTGGGCCATTATACCATGTTCTTCAAATATGGTAAATGTACATGTACATGTAAATGTTTGTTGTTTTTTTTAATTTTAGTTTTCTATATTTTGGGGGCGTTTTTAATAACACAATTATTCCACTCGCTCTTATTGGTTATGAGATGATTATAGTATGGCTATCTACTATCTTTCATCCAGTGTGCGCTCGTAGAATAATTGTTAAATGTGATATGGAATATCAACTTGAAGTTGGTAAAGGTAAATTAACCAGTTTGTAGGGAGTTTGAGAAACTGATGTTTTGAGTGTTTGCCCTTGGCTTTGATGAAGATCTGACACTTGAAACATCAGCTTCTCTACTGAACTCTCTACAGCAGTTAATTTACCTTTATCAACTTTGAGTTGATGAATAGCTAAGCATTTCTTCAGTAAGAATAGTATCCACATTCTCATATATTCAGACTCTCAGTTGTCTGGTCTGAACTCTTTAGCCAAGCCCAAGTAGTTTGGATAAACATGGTTCGATTCGAAAGAAGAAAATTTATTGGATTTGATTTAAGAGCAAATGCCCACAAAAATCAAACAAAATCAAATTTCTTTGGCAAGGCTAGAAAACTCAAATTCGCTCATATTTTGCATATAGCTAGCCCCTGGCAAGAGTGGAAACAGGCTGTAGTTTTTTCCTTGAAATAGTTTTGTCTTTCTGAAAAAAGCAGCATTTACGATTTAGTTTTCAGACTCAATTTCTTGCAATTTAGTGAGTCCCAACTAGGCTGAAAATCGACCATTTTCCTTCAATTTGCATTTCGCAACTATTGAGCACAGAAAAGTTGTAATGCAACCAGCTTATTGCAGAACTATTTCTTGTGTAAAAAAGGATGATTTCAAGAACATTGGATTAATCTAATTATTTAGCGGTAAACAAAACCAGAGTGTTCTCCAAAATTGAGTTAGTCAGTGGGTGAAAAGAATTGTCATTTTAACCATGTGCCATGTCTCGAAATTCCAAAAGATTTTAGATTCTAACTATACTAGGATAGGTCTTTCAATATAGGTAAAGTTCCGTTTGGGCAAATGATTAGGCACTCTTCAAAACATTATTCAAAATCGTTCACAAAAGACACAAAATCACGCCAGCAGCTTACGAGTGCGGGACCAAAAGTATCATCATCGTATTGGCATATTACTTCAGTTGGAAACGTCAGAATTACCAAGCAGTATAAATGACATACACATAAGGGAAGTGGTCAAAACTATGTTACATGCTAGGGACCCACTTTTTGGAGGGTGGGCTATGTAAGAGGCCATGGGTCTCCTGAGGGAGGTGGGGGGCTACTTAAGAGGCCATGGGTCTCCTGAGGGGGTGGGGG